ATAAATGCTTTCTCATAATCAACAGACTAGAGCTAGGTGAAATAAATGGGACCTCCCCAGATTGGCAGATCAATCAATCAATCAATCAATAAGCGAGTTTATCTGGAGTGTCTTCTACTTTGTGCCTAACACTGAGGTAGGAACTGAAACTATGACAAATGTTCCCTACTTTCAAGCATCTTACATCTCGTTGGAAGATAAACACGGGCCCACTTGTCAGAGATAGCATCAAGGGGTTCTCTTTGGGATTTAGCTAGTCTCTGAGGTCCCTTCCCAACTAAAAAATAATTCAGTGAAAGACTGTATGGTAATGGCTGTCCATGATGGGAGTAAAGATAAGGGAGAGATGAACGGGGGCTATAAAAGATAAACTGAGCCTGAAGATTTCAACGAGCATTTATTAAGTGCTTGCAGTATGCCAGGTAGATGTTGGGACCTATGATACTATCTTATGATAGACGCCTTCAAGTATTTGGGAGAAGTATTAGATTTGTTCTACTTGGCCCCAGAGGGTGGGACCAGTAAAAATAGGCGGGTGGTAGAAAAAGGCAGATTTAGGATTGATATGAGGAAAAACATCCTAACAAAAACGAGATTGACCCAAAAGTGGAGTGGGCTGCCTCACGAAGGAGTGGATAATTTAAGAACAGGCTGGATAACCTCTTAGTGATTGTACATTCTGGGATCCTCATCCCAGCAGGACTATTGCCTCCTCTTGGCCTTCCTATTTAGAGATTCAGCCCTGGGAGCTTTTGGTGTAAATGGGGCAGTTGGATGGATAGTCAAAGGATGGATTTGCATTTATGTTCACCCTTCAGAGCCAATCAGAGCCTTTATGACTGGTATATATTACTCTAGAGCAAGTGTTCTTGACCTCTGTTGTATCACGGCCTCCTCTGGCAGTCTGGTGAAGCCTATGGACCCCTTCTCAGAATAATGCCTTTAAATGCACAGGATTACAAAGAAAACTAATTATATTGAAATATGGTGATCAACATTTTTAAAACTTCAGGGGCCCCCAAGTTAATAACCCTAGATTAAGTGGGAAACGTCCATTTAGGGCATCCTAATCTGGGGTCCTGTGCTTCCATAAATATGTGGGGTTTTGTTTATTTGAGGTGGGGGTGGAGGAACAGAATGGGAGTGCCAGACTTTGAGCTCTGCTGTGGCAGTGAGGTAAATTAACCCCTATTTACAGATTCTCTCACTGGAAAGCCCAGTCTTATGCCAGGAGGTTCCTAGTCCCCTGTGAGCCCTGGGCTCTAACTGGTGAGCTTTCACCTTGTCTTGTCCAGTCTTGGGCCTACCAGCTCCATGCCACTCCACCACATGCATACCTCTCTCCCTTAACTCTTGTCTCTTCTGAGAACAATAGTCAAATCGACAAGTAAGTACATGTCAATTAATTCTCTGTGGCTTCCCAAATACTCTCCCTGATCATCATTTTGCTTTAAGCAACATTTTCCCCTATTAGAATACAAGCTCCTTGAGGGCATGGATTGTCTGGCTTACTTGTAATTGCATCCCCAGCACATAGCGAGGTGCCTGGCCCAGGGTAAGGGCTTAATAATTGTTTTTCATTCATTCGTTCTGGCTGAGCGCCACACTAACATAAGTAGAGAGCATATGTGGTTCATGAGCCACTAATTGCCAGGCCCTAGGACAAGCCACGCTAAAAATTGAGTTTCATCTTACACCTCTCACTTACTACACAAATATTGACCTGCCATTGCCAGGAAATGAACTGCCTCGCCCAAGTTAATATCCCTTCAAATTCGAGATCTTTTCTTTTAGCCATTCTAGATGAAAATATTTCTTAACCATATATTTCCCTGCCCCTCTGAAATGGAGATATTGAATATAATCCAGCCTTTTCTGAGTGACTGGGGGAACTGCTGTAAACATTCTTTTCCTCGGCAAACAGAGAAAGTCAGTGGAGTAATAAAATGGAGAGAAGACTTGACATAAACAGGCTGTGCGGCCACGGACAAATCACCGAACCTCTCTGTGTTGTGGGCAACCCTCTAGTTCTCCAAGTTATAGAGAAGGTGCCAATCTTTATTAGTAGAGGGCGTTGCCTCTGGTACTAATGAGATCACAGTCCAATCCCAGGCATAGCTAGGCCCAGCCTGCCCCCAGGAGCTCTTGAAGGAGTCCAGTCCTCTCTCACTTGGGGTGGGCCCAGGGTGAGGCCACGCAGCAAGGAAAGAGGAGCAGGGGTCTTCCAGGGTACTAGTGGGCTTTGCAGCTATGTTAGGACAGCAGCAGAGGGGTGGGCAACATTTAGTGCTATACTAAATGACCTCAAACAGCTATGTCCTTGAAATTAATCTATCTGCTTTCAATTGTTTTTCTTACTTGTAAAGTTGCCTGCTATCAATTCTTGCAGTTGGCAGTGGGCTTTCGTCTAGTACCTACTCTTCACTTGTCTATTTGTTGCTTCTAAATTGTTAAATTATATGTAAAGTAAGAATAAAGAAGTTCTGAGTGAGCACTTGAGAGTAAAAAGCATGAGCAAGAATCCTTCAAAGTCATCTTGGTTTCTTCCCTTTACCACCCACATCCAATCAGTTGCAAAGTCCTGCCAAATGTTTCCTCTGCAATTATCTCAAACATCCCCACTTTTACATTCCCACTTACTAACCCCCCCCCCAGTTTAGGGCTTAATTATTTCACACCTGCACTGTCAACAGCCCCCTAACTGATCTGCCTGCCTCCAATTTCTCCTCTCAATCAGTTCTGCACCTCCGCTGGATTCACCGCGTGGCTTTGACCATCTCACCGCACTGTTTAAAACCTCTGATAGCTCCCCATACAAATTAAGGCTAAACCCCTTTAGCCTGGTATCCAAGGCCCTTTATTATCTGCCTCCAATCTACATTTGCAACATCTGGCATACAGTAAGCACTTAATGCGTGTGTAACTGAACTGAATTTCTGCTGCTACTTCCCCGTGACCTTGCACAGTCCCCCCCCTCAACTTAAAGCCAATTCACTTGCAAGTCATGGCATCATCTTCCTGATGTCACGGTCCTCTTCACAGAACGAAGGTCAAACAACATGCCTTCTCCCAGTCAAGCTGAATTACTGTTTCCACACTCTCTCACCAATTTGCCTTTGTTCATGCAGTCAGTCCCCTTTGTGAGACACTTTCCCACCAACTCCAATTCTCCACTTGTAGAAATTCTCTATTTCTGGGTCCAGCTTAAAATATTCCTTTCGTGAACCCACCCCAATGTCCCAACTAACTGGAAGTGATCTCCCCTTCCTCAAAATCCCCATTGGTTTGTACCTCTCATGGCTCACATCATATGCTGCTGCATATTTGACATCACCCTCCTCATCCTGTTACTTGATTGTAAGCTTCCTGAGGACACTGTATTTTTATGAAGCACACCATGACCTCATGGACACTTAATACTGCAAGGTAAATGGATTTGGGGCCATTGCTTTGAGCAGCTCAGGTCTTAGTGGTATATAGTTCGGCATATGACTGATACAAACTCTACCAGAGAATGATGAAGCTCTCTTATTCTACTACATCTCTGATCTCAATTGTTTCACCCAACCAAGTATTAAAATTTTCCAGCAGGGCAAATGAAGAAAAAGTATGACTGTTCTAGAACTAACCTACACTAGAAACTGGTCTCCTGAAAGAGAAAAGTGCAGACCCCATCTTTCAGGACTTGAGAGCATCTTAACAAAGGGAAGCAACCCCACGTGGGCAAATATCAAATTACTGGGATGTACTTACACGTGCCATATGCAAGAGAAGCACTACGAGGTGGATCCTCCTTCAGAGGTTTAATCTCTTCCTGTAGATAACTAACCAGGGTGGCCGTAAATCCTATAAGGCTTCTAAGAAAGAGCCAGTCTCAGAAAGGATATGAGCAAGATCATTATTTTTAGATAGTACTTTTCACAGATGGAAGTTTTAATTGGATTATATAGGAAAGAGAGCGCCATGTGTAGGTACATAACACTGCATTGCTCAGATATCAAAGTCCTATTGCCGGTAAGAAACACACTCACCTGGAAGATGGACTCTGAACAAATTTGCAAAGAAGGCAATTCATATTCACCATAATCAGTTGCCATCGGCATAGGGGGAGGGGCAGCACACAGAAATTCCCAGTCTCTCTTCCAGAAGTAAGTGCACCAATGGAATGCCCCTGATGGGGTCCTAGCATTTCATGCCTTACCTAGCACAAGACCCGAAAGAGACCTGAGTGCCACAAATAAAAGAAGCCTCTTTCCAACATAGCATGTTTTAAAAGCTACTTTATGTTTCATGTTGCTTTCTATACCTTTCCTGTTTCCTCATCTGTAAGGAGGATAATCCCTAAGGTAATTAGCTCACAAGGTTGTTGTACACATCAAATGAGATAATATATGTAAAGTGCTTTGCAAACCTATAAGTGCTATATAATTATCAATTATTATTGTTCTTTTTAGAAGATATTTTCAAAACGGTACGTATGCATACTTCACTTTACAATTTCCTACAAAAGGTGAAAGCAAATTGAACTTTTGCAAGTCAAACCGTATCTCCAATGCACTGAGGTCTGCTAAAAGAAAACTTGGGCTGAATCCTTTTGTAGAGGATAAATAATCATTTCCCAAGTTACCCATTCAGATTTTTGTACATAGGAATTTTTTAAAGCAAGGTCCACCCATATCGCCAATTTCCAAATGACATTTGGAGAGGTTTGGATGCATTAGCAAGTACATCTGTCACCCAGAGTTGAGAATTCAACTGTATGACCTTGGACAAGTCACTTCCCCTCTCTAAGCTTTAGTTCCTTCATCTGCAAAATGAAGGCGTTCCAAGTCAGTATTTGCTAAGTCCTTCACAAAATTCACAGTAAGGAGAAAATTGGGTACTTTGGAGAAGATGGGGTAAAAACACTTGGAATGCTAGTCATATGAGTTAATGGCTTCATTTATTTTAATATAGCATCAAACAGTACTAAAAGCACCAGCAAGAACTGCACACAATGATAATAGCAAATTTAATATGATTTATTCATATGATAAGTCCCGACGCACTTAACACAAATACCAGGGTACATTTTTCAATAGTGTGCAAGAGATGAATTCTGAAAACCTGTTAAGTAAATAATGAGTTCTGCCTATAAATCACCAGCAAAGGTTTTAGAAAACACACTAGTATAACAGCAACAATAAATTAGAACAAGGGTTTGGTAAATGTCAGTCTCATTATAGCTGGGAACCCCTCTTACCCTCATAAATAATAGTCTCTGACTTAAGGGACAGTGGAAGAAAAACTGGTTAACTTTTGTTCTTTGCTCTTTACTTTGTCTACATCCTAACTCTTTCTTCCTATTATATCCAGAAGCACTGGATTCTTTGTTTTCTGCACTGACTATGCTATTCTTTTTCATCCTGCTGCTTGGCTGCAACAAAAGCCTGGGCTGTGCACACAACAGGATGTGCAGAAAAGCATTTCAGGAGGTTCCCGAAACTTCACCCAGAGCAACCGAAAGATCCATTGGTTGTCTCCAGCTCAGGCACCCTCTCAGGCGCAGAGCAGCACGGCTGAGACCCAGGCCCATCGCACACATTCCAGAATAAAAACTCAGGCTGCTCTGAAGCACGGTAGACCCACACTCAGGGCAGAAGTCATTTAAACACGGGTGCCTTTTCATCATTCAGTGAACAGCATTCTAGAATCCCAGATCAGAGCTTTTTGGAGTTGGAAGACACTGAATGATGACTGGTCAGGGTTAAGAGTAAGAACTGCTATATTAACACCCCAAGAAACTGTGATCATAATGGAAGATCCCTGTCTGTGCAAAGCCTTGCTGGAGGATCAGACAACACCTTTAAATGGCAGGTTCCCTGATGGATGAAACCGCATGAATATTTTCACAGGCTGGAGGTAAGAAAACAGTCATCCATTACGCTAGTCGCTAAATTCCATGGCCAGCCTCACAACTTTATAAACATGAATGACCTCAAAAATGTTAAATTTATAAGGGAGAAAATGAATTTTTATAAACACTGCATCCTAATATCACTCACAGAAAGGCATCATAATGGTGGCAGGATGTTTGTCTATCAATGGAGGTTTCAAAACATTTTATTTTCTTTAATAGTTCTATATTTCTCCCTTTCCTTTAGGCTATTCATTTTCTAGCAAACCTTTTCTTCATCAATAAGCTAGCCCTCAGTCCGAATGATCACAAATTCCAAATTAAAGAAACCTAAATTAATAAGGTTTTGCTGTAATAAACTACGGATCCTTGAAATCTATCCTCCTTCTCAACTCTGCTCTCCACGTCACCTCTGTTAGTGCCAAAATGTCACAAAATCTCTAATTCATTCTCACATCCACCATGTAGGGTAGGGAGGAGGAAAATGTAAAAAAAAAACTGTAAACAAAAATCCATTTAGTTATATAAAACTTATGGCCCAATGACCCAGTGAGTTTTAATATGTGCCCATGGTCTGGTTATAAACATTATGATCCTGCAGGGGGTCACTGTCTACAAAATACAGTTCACCTGCATGGATGTCAGTAAAATTGGCAGTGAAATTCTCAGGGTTGAAGCTGACCCATACGGTAAACCTGTAGTCTACTGTACGTATGGAATACCCCATAATTTTTATATCTTTTAAATGTGGCTTATCAGAATTCCACTGAGGGGTATCTGCAGGCCGTGGATACTGGCTGTATGCCACGAGGTCAAGGGGTTTCCTGGTGCTGTCATAAGAGTCTCTTTCCCATTTGGTGATGTTTAAATATCTAACAAGGCTTGGTCCTTCTCTACACAGCTCAATGTTAAATGAATCAAATGGGCATCGTCGGGGTACGTTCAATCCGGCAAGTTCCGAGAGAGTCGGAAAAAGAGACACAAGTTCAACAAGCTCCATGGCTTGCCCTCCTAGAAAAAAAAAGCAACAAAGTAGAAAATGTGATATTGGAGTGAACAAGACAGAGGCCAAAAGACTAAGTCAAACACGACTCAGTGCCACGCATTTATTTCATCGTGTTGTTTTCATTTTATTTAGAAGAAAGGCATCTCAGGGGCAGCTAGGTGGCGCAGTGGATAAAGCACAGGCCCTGGAGTCAGGAGAACCTGAGTTCAAATCCGGCCTCAGACACTTGACACTTACTAGCTGTGTGACCCTGGGCAAGTCACTTAACTCCATGGAGGAGGA